GGGTGTTACATTGTACAGTGGCAGTGCCGTATTGTGCACCTCTGCCTACCCCTTCGGGGATAGAAGTAATCCCCTTATGTTATAATGTAATTTATACTAATTTTCATTTTCAGTGACTGGGTATTTCATAATAGTGACGAACAGTTTAAGAATGTCTTTGCAGTACTTGTCTAGCCATGACATCGTGATTTGAAAAGTGGAAACCTAAATAAATTGATCAGCATGGCTGTAATGTGAAACTAGTCTAATTTGTATTGTAAATAAAGTTTTAATTATTGCATTACTTTTTATTCCCAAAGGCTCTATTTTCTCTAAGAAGGTATGTGTTATTTTGTTGACTTCTTACAAAATATACGACTTTTTGAATCTGGGTGTCTTCAAGGCCTCAATGAATAGGTTGCTTAAAGGCAGGCACGCTCCAGCGTAAGCCGCATCATCACTTACCACCAAGCGAGATAGTAACCAAACACTGACCCATTACATATAAAAGTTCAACTTTAAAGGTGTGCATATACAGTCGTAAGTATCGATGGAAAACTTAATTTAATATTATGTAGCAAAACGACAACATCTAGTAAAATAAAAACAGCCACGCCAGTAAGCCCGTTTAGATTGGCCTGCGTGTTGCCCAGCGCGTGGTACCGCGCGGGCCTGCGCGCATAGGGGCTGTCTCCACGAGCGAGAGAATCGCGGCGATATTATCGCCGTGCCACGTTTTTCTATACACTCTCTATGGAACCGTCACCACACGGCGATATTATCGCCGCGATGCGACGAGTGGCAACGAGCGCGCAAAACGTCATTACATCGTCGCTAGCCCGCCGCGACTAGCAACGCGACCGCCGCGAGCGCGCGGCGGTCTCGCGACGAGCGCGCGGCGGGCGCGCTGTCAAACGCAGCGGCATTTCAGCATTGCCTCTCGTTAAGCGAAGACGTGGCAACGTGAAGTCGTCAAGGAAACGCGGCGATACCGTAACGACTCGCGACGATACGCGGCGGAATTATAGCTCGTTCGTGGAGATTATCCGACGAGATAAGGGAGGACTCGTCGCGATTCTCTCGCTCGTGGAGACAGCCCCTTAGTCATGCGACGGGTGTCCGTTCCCCTATACTTATTATACTCTTTGGGTGTCCGTCACGGAGCAGTCCGCGCGAGATAGGACGCATCAACTTAACACATTCAGCCTTAAGTTATTTTATTCAGACTTAACTATAATTAAGTCTATCCAATGGTCTATCCATCTCGTAGACAGCCAAAGCCACAACCTCGCCATAAAAAAAATTGGCTGAAACATTCACCTGTCATTGTGACAATCTCCTAGATGGTATAACTCTATGGATTATGCGCTATTTGATCATAATCATGTTCTTGTTGTTTTAAGTGTAATTAAATTCAAAAAATCTTGAAAATGGCTGAACCCGACAGGCAATTTAAGCTGAGTATTGATACTAAAGACAGAATATACAGTAAGAGTAAACAAAACGTGAAACTAGCGATTTCTTGCTTTGACAAGTGGCCGACGATGGGGAAGTGTTGTCATTATATACGTTTGAATGTAGCTGTTGTTATTATTATTATATCTTCACTGGTATGTGAGACTAATCCTACTAATATTATAAATGAGAATGTTTGTATGTTAGTTTGTTTGTGGCTTCTTCACGTCCAAACTTCTGAAGGGATTGAGATGTAATTTGGAACAGTAATAGACTATCGTTTAGAATAACACATAGGCTACTTTTCCCACGGGAACGCGGACGAAGCTGCTGATAGAAGCTAGTATTTAGTATTATTCTTACAGTATTTATTTGAAGCTAGTAATAACGATTTGAGAAAAGCTTGATTCATCATTACATACAGCTAAAGCTAAGCTAGCCCGTCTCAGTCCTCTGTACAGAGACACATATGACCAGTTTCTGTTAAACATACAGTCTTTCAGTAGACTCTTACGACGCTCTCGAGAAGAAAACTCACAGAAACAAATTATTTTAAATCTGCGTCCCCACATTGCACATTTTATTTGCCATTTACCCGGTTCAATACCTTAAAAAGTTTTAATAAGTAAATTAATAATCATACGATCGTATTAAGGTCATAGGGACCTCTGAATGCTGATCGTTTTCAATAAGTATATCTGGAAGTCATTGGAGGAGGCTTATGGCTGATATGATGATGATGATGATGGCTATTGATGAAAAGAGTAACAAAATTAAATGGAGTTTCTTGCTCGTTTTTCTCCATTTGAATCTACATTTTGGAATGAGCACCTAGCTTCAGTGACGGACTGACTGGCAGACTATTATTTATTTTGTATTTGTTGACGTTTCAAAAGTACCAAATTATGATTTAATTGGCCTATGTTCAGCAGTGGACGTCTTGTGGCTGATATGATGGTGATGATGATGATGATGTTGAAATAAATGCTTTGACTATGACTTTGACTTTGAGAAAGATAGAAAAAGAATTTATTTTGACAGTAGGCATACGCAAAGGTAAGAATTATTAAAATTAAAAAGAAAAGATAAAAAAAAATATTAATTAATGACCAACTTTGTTCCAGCTAGTCATACCTCTATTATGGTACCATGCAAACAGTATCCTCGTCGAGTCAGACCAGGCAATTCTATTTGAAAACTGTTTTATGATCATTTTGTTAATATGGATGGCTTCGACCTTTCTATTGCTTGCTGGGGCTTCTAACGTAGTAAAGGTATGGTTTTTCAAACTACATTTCATAATATGAGGTGAATCGATTCATAAAGGGGGTAATTAGAAATTGGGAAATTGGTCTAGTATCCAATTCTTTAAACCGCACCGATTTTCAACCATGTCACTTTGTGAAACAAGAAGTGTTATTGAAAAATCGCAAGTGACACCTTAGATAGCAGTTAAAAATATTATATACGAAGCCACATTTGCAACCACTTTACCAACGAGACACAGTACCATAACACAACTGACTATAAAAGTACCATATACCACTATAATGCCCACCTATGTTACGACGATGCAATGTGATAGAAATTGATTTAATTTATCATTACAGACAGTTTTATACCGTGACGTCATACTGCAAACATACCTATGGCTTACTATATTCCTAATTGTGGTGCATGTGGTGTTTTCTATCACATATCTTATTTACACTTGGAAGGTTAATACCACTTCTGCTAGCATACGCTTAGTCGTCTGCATATTAATAGTTTTTGGTAAGTTCTCTGTTTCTTCACTGACATCCTTAAACATGCTAGGAAAAGTTTAATTACGCAATTTTGTCCGACTTGTGTCACCAAAAGGACCAAAAAAACCTTTTGCCGGAGGAAAGGGGACAGGAACGACCGTTTCGGCTCTTTTAGGCCCTTAAGCCCTTAGGCCCTTAGGCCCCTAAGCCCCTAGGTCCCTAGGCCCCTAGGTCCTTAGGCCCTTAGGCCCTTAGGCCCTTAGGCCCAATAGTATTAAGTCTACAAGGCCCTTTGAAGCAAAGACATGGAAATTAGCGATCTCGTTTGCTACCATCATTCCGAGTACAGAAATTTACTGTTTTTATCTCCAGCTTGTCTTAATTGACTGACTGGAGTAAACAATGATGACCAGGTTGACAGGCTGGTCGGTGATCATTGATAACAATATAAAAGTTTCAGGTTTATCAGAGAGTACTGTTGCTCGGTCTCAATCACTAACGTGTTTAAGACATGCATGGTTCCATATTTAGTTTAGTTGTGTATATGTATTTTATTTTCATTTCATTAACATAATTCCTAAATTTCAGTCGCTGTATATTTGTTGCTGGTGGTGAATTCTTTTAGAATACGGCTTTAATCGAAGCTCTATTTGAGGTCTTGACTTGAACTAGAGGTAAGTTATAGTATCTTATTCAACTAGGTTATCGGACCGTCCATCTTCGGACACATCTGTATGTATGTTTATTTGTATGTATGTTTTTACATTTTTTTTATACTACGACGTTGGCAAAAAATAACACGGTCCACTTAATGGTAAGCGGTTACCGTGGCCTATGTACGCCTGCAACACTTGGGGCATTACATGCGTCTTGCCGACCCTTAAGAAACTTATTCACTCCCCTCTTGAAGAATCCCATGTTGTAGCCCACTGGGAAAACCTTTCTCTTTCTTTCTTCTTCTACTCTTTCACGTGAAAATACTAGATAGAGTGCAATGGGATTTAGCAAGAAGATAGATTATTTGTTTTTTTATTATTCTATTGCCATCAGCCTCACACCGCGCCGTAATTTTTTTTTGAGTGTGGAGTATCATCCTATGACTTCTCTCGCCCGGGTGAGGTAAGAGGGATCGTCAGGCTCTTACTGACTAAAACCCACCCCGTTCCTACTCCTGCACTACGAGCCGAAACCCTGGCAACCCGTTAAGCCCTCCGAGGCTCCGTATCGGCATCAGCCCTATTGGGCCCCATCTGTGATGGTCTGATGGCTCTTTGAGACGCACGCGGAACGCGACGCACCGGACGCTCGGGTCTGGTTCTGGTCAAGCACCCGAGCTCGCCGTCCGCAGGCCCGTACTTACGATGGCCGGAGATCGTCTATCGATCTCCGACGCCTAGAGTGTCTCTCGCGACGGCTGGGGCGTGAGGAGGTTCGTTCCCTCACGCGCGCCGCCTCCTAGCATAGCTAGCATGCATAATAAGAGTCGAATTAAAATTATCTAGCCATGTACAGGCCAAAAGAAAGAAAAAGTATCATGTTACCACTTTATTAAAATTCACACCTTTAGACACCTCAACATCTGAATTTTCTTCTTGGATTTCTTTCTTATGCATATTGACAGTGGGCAGTACGAACATAAATAAGTTTTATTTACTAATTAATTGTTACTTCTTGAATTGTCTTTATCTGTGGTGGCGATATCATGTCATGGCGACCGTTTGACAAAGACTTATCAAAATTAAAGTACGTAATAAAATGTCGTATTTTTCAAATCGTGAAGTAATATATTTTTCATCGTAATGCCGTGAATAATTCGCAATCATGTGTGAGATATTCCCAGAAGTGAACAACTGCTGTTCTTTTTTATCCATCAGAATGGGAATGCTGTTCATAGCAATCCTGTCCATAGTAAGTAAACGGTATTTATAACCTGCAAGAAAAATACGAATAAATATATAAAAACATACCAAAATTCTAGTGCATGTGTGAAAAATATAAGTTGAAACTATGATCGTGAAGGTGTTACTTCTCGTAGGAAGATTGATCTACAATTTACTTTTAAACATTGTCTATTTAAGACGACGTATTAGACATCATTAGGCTTTCGGGACAACCAATCACAAAATGTTCCAGTAAGTTGTATTTTAACTTCTAAATCCACGATTACGAAAATTCCACAACATTTGTTTATACAAACCTAGTCTCTAAACATCTGAAATAAGGTTTATAATGGAGTAAGTGGAGAGCGGTCACCGGTAACCACACGGGAACTGTAAAAAATACGTTCACTATAATACTCATCTTCCACCAGTTTTATGTACCTCTACATACCAGTTATATGAGAAGAGTTCAGTTTTACTAAAATTCAGGTACAATTTCAAACTGCGTGTTACTATTTCGATGAAGATATCCTCTAACTAACTGTTGCCCACGTGTTTGCTCGCATTGACGTTAATTATATAATAACTTCTCGTCAGTCGTTGGCCGAGTGGTCGCAAGTGCGACTGCCGGGCAAGGGGTCTGGGGTTTGAATCGTCGGGCAAAGTATTACTGGGTTTAAAAAAAAATCTCAGTAGTAGCACGGAGTCTGGAATTGTGCCCCGTATATGGCAATAAGCTCACCCCCTGTTACATGGGATTCATAACATAAATAGTGAAAAGTGGGTGTTACATTGTACAGTGGCATAATGTGCACCTCTACCTACCCCTTCGGAGATAAAAGGCGTGATGATGTTATGTTCTCGTCAGTACCGTTGTCACAACGCTACGGTGTAGGCCCATCGGCGATCCGCAAACTCCAAAAAGCTAGTAAGGCATTTGTTTCTCTGATGTTACGAGAGACCATGGGCGGCGTCGATGGTCTTCCAAAAGGTGATTCGTTTCTTTGGTTTAAAAGAGTCATTTTTCAGTCGACAGGTGCAATCACTCTCGGCGTGGTAGAACAAAAAACGAATATTGACTATGACCAGGTACTATCTATATATAATAATGCTACAAATAGTACAAGTAAGTACGCGTTCATTTTATCCTACTCTTTTTTATGGCTTTTATGGCGGGAACAACTATCACAGACGCTTTTAGTATTTAGGAAGAAAAACAGGAGAATATGAAGGTTTTAATTAATTAAAATTTTCCGATGCTCACGGTTTAATTCCCGAGTGGGGCGAACTTTATTGGGTTTAAAAAAAATCCAGTAGTAGCACGGAGTCTGGAATTGTGCCCTGTATATGGCAATAATAGGCTCACTCCCTATTACATGCGACTCCTAACATAAATAGTGAAAAGTGGGTTTTTACATTGTACAGTGGCATTAAGTGCCGTAATGTGCATGTGCACCTCTGCCTAGCCGTTCAGGGATAAAAAGGCGTAATGATTTTTTTTTATGGCATAAGCCGGTAAAGGAGCAGACGGATCACCTGATGGTAAGCTATCGGCGTCGCCCATGGACACCTGGAACACCAGAGGCGTTACAAGTGCGTCACCGGCTTTTTGGGGATTAGGAGTTTGAGGATCGTTGGAGATTCACGGATTGGAGAGATTGGGGAAGGGGAAGGTAATTGGGCCTCCGGTAACCTCACTCACACGACGAAACACAACGCAAGCGTTGCTTCACGTCGGTTTTCTGTGAGGCCGTGGTATCACTCCTGTCGAGCCGGCCCATTCGTGCCGAAGCATGGCTCTTCCACACTGAAGATGATGTTTTATTAATTGTGTTAGTCTATGAGGTTCATCCACGCTACTTAATCAGTAGATTAGAAATACATTGTCCATTGTTTCAGAACCAGAACAAGCTCTTTCAGACTTGAATGGTATAATCATAACTACAATAACTGTAATGTCAGTGATTTTTATGTTAGCTGGCTTGTGCCTTTTGTTCGCCACTTTGGCAGTAAGTATTTATTCATTAAAGCAAAAGTAGCTAGTCATCTATTATATAAAAATAAGTCGGGTTTTGCTTCCTGACGCTATAATTCTAGAACGCACGAACCGTTTTCCACGGTTTTATATTCGTTAGAAAAGTCTCGGGCTCCGTGAGGTTTAAAGCTAAGAAAATTGACTAATCACCAAACGAAATGTTACATAAAACAAAGCCATCTGGTGGCGAAACCGAGTTCGCCGGGTTTACTAGTGTAGTATAAATTTGCACTCCCCTACTTTTCCTGCGGGTATCGTAAAGACTAAGGTACTATTTGCAAGGACCATGCAGCATTTTCTGTTGAACCTGGACTTTGAAACTGGTCTCCAACCTACCCACCAGGGGACGAGATTATGCCAAACCTACTTATAGAAATTAATCTAGCAGAGAGCTGTCATGGAATGTTGATAGACCTAATAGTTTTTTCGATATAGTTTTTTATCGACCTAATTTTTTGGCTGTGTCAAATGTCTGGTTCCTTAATCAGCCCTTAGTGCCCGTTTTCACCACCACAACCACCATACCGCCAACCCCTTCTGAATTTAAAGGAACCCCTAAGCTAAGATAGGCGACGACGGTTAACGTCACTTTTGTTTTCACCAATCTGTAAGCGACATCACAATAGAACAAGTGAAGGGTTAGTTTGGGTGTTTCCTCGCGTAAGTAACGATTAGTTAAGTGACAGTTTAGGGGTGGTTGGTGAAAATGGCAATAAGAACCTACAATAAGAGTCGGTTATAAAATAGATGGATTTTGTTCTTAACTAAAAATCACGAGTTACTCACGTGGTGAAAATACTGAAGTGAAGGTGAAGATACTGAGAAAATAACTGAAGCTAGCCAGTATGCTGCGCGACATCGCCGCAACCGCGCACGCAGCACATGAGGAAGAACCCCTCTGTAGTTCGAAACTAGTAGAGCATTCCTCAGTATTTTCAAGTGAGTAATCTCCGATTCTTAGTTAATTCTGTATGTCTCATGATATGAATTTATTATGTTTCAGGACCAAGAAGGGTATGCGCAGGGGTTTGTATGGCTAATATTTTTAAATATCCTTCTTGGATTACTCATAATATTGGCGATAACTTATGAGTGCTTAATGAAATCAAAATGCTTTCTCGGTCATATGGATTGGTTGTCGGGAGCAATAGCACTCATCATCGTAGTGTTCTACTTAATATGTGAGTAACTTATTTATTTATACTTACATACTTATAGCGCGTGCCATAGTGTGCTACTAAACCATCACAGATGGGCCGAGTAGGGTTTTTGCCCGATACCTAGCCGCATTTATCCCCAAGCGGTCACCGGTGACCGCTCTCCACTAACTACATTATAGACCTTATTTCAGATGTTTAGAGACTACTTTTGTATGAACAAATTTAGGGATGATATTTCAACAGGGCCAGGTTATAGGTTACCAGGGCTGTAGCACAAAGCATGAGTAGGTACGGGGTGGTATTTAGTCAGTGGGTTAACGTTGCTTCATGGATAGTTTTCCAAGTTTGTAAGCAAGATCTTTTCTTTTTTTTTCTTTTATTGAATAAGCCGGTAAACGGGCAGACGGATCACCTGTGGTAAGCAATCGGCGCGGCCCATGGGAACTAAAACACCAGAAGCGTTACAAGTGCGTTACCGGCCTTTTGGGAAATGGGTATTTGGGTTTTGTGGGGGATTGGGGGGTTGGGGAGATTAGGGAGCAAAGGTTGATTGGGCCCCCGGGAATCTCGCTCACACACACGACGAAACAACGCAACCGTTGTTTCACGTCGGTTTGCTGTGAGGCTGAAAGACAAGATATCGAGGAAATGACAAGATGCAAGCATTTTGTCATTTATAAGCCACCTAATGTCATTTCTAGGTTGCATGCATTTCTCGCTAACAAACGCGCTACGTTCAAACAAACAACCAAAAAAACAAACTCTTTCGCTTTATATAATAGTACAAGATAAGATAACATAACATAACATCACGCCTTTTATTCCCGAAGGGGTAGGCAGAGTTGCACATTATGCCACTGTACAATGTAACACCTACTTTTCACTATTTATGTTATAAGTCCCATGTAATAGGGGGTCAACCTATTGCCGTATACTGGGCACAATTCTAGACTCCGTGCTACTGCTGAGAATTTTTTTAAAACCCAGTAATACTTTGCCCGACCCGGGAATCGAACCAGAGACCCCTTGCCCGGCAGTCGCACTTGCGACCACTCGGCCGACGAGACAGTCAAGTACAAGATAAGATAAGATAGTCTTATTCACATTCTTCTTTCATCACATGTAATCTTCTTTTTTCAGTGTGGTTCTACTTCATAAGCGTGGCAAACACTTACGTTCTAAATGGAAACACATAATATTAAAAGATCCGAACTAACACCAACCTATTCTCATAAAATATTTGAGTGAAAATATATAATTATATCCTTTAGGATTAGAGTCGTTAGGATCATATCTGTTTATCAATGAAATCCGTTCCATTTTAAATTAGGTACTTCAACAAGGGTACCGCCACCAAAAAGTTTTTATCTCCACCTAGGTGAACAAAGTGGAATAAACCTTTATTTTATATGGACTCTAGGTCTGCTGTATACTAATTAAGATTAATATTAGTTCTCTATATAGGTACCTATATTCATAATGGTAGATAGTCGTTAAACTTCAATTGAAACCTTTAATTTTTTTCCTCTTTGGCAGCCGAAACCATTTATATAAAATACAGACACTTTGTAATTTTTACACGACAAAATGTTCTTAAAAGAAAAATAAACTAGAATGTTGTCAATTCAAATAATATATTTTTCACTCAAATATTGATTGTAGGTTGATGTTAGATCGGGTCGCGAAGCCTGTCAATATCTCACACCCACCCAATGTATGATGTCGTCCGAAATGTCTAGCAGTTATCTGTTGGGATACTACATTTTTGAAGAATTTTGTTTTTGTATTGTGAAAATATAATATATCGTCTTTTTGATGTCTTACTTTTATTTCGATTTTAATCTTATACTAGCTGTTGCTCGCGACTTCGTCCGTGTAGAAAATGATTTAATGAAAATAACATATTTAACAATTTTTGTAGGCCTGTTTGTTTATACTGGCACGTAGCTGATATACTAAGAAGTAGCATGGGCTACTTTTATTTTGGAAAATTGAAACAAAATAGTTATCGTTAATATTTCTCCGCTCCGCTGCCCATCTCTGCGTCAATGGACAGGCAGCCTAATACGTATGTAAAGTCAAATGTGTTTTGAATATCAAAAACGAAATTCGAGTCATAGCGTCACTCCTAAACTTTACCAATCGTGGAACTTATAATTACAAACCTCAAGAGACGCCCTTAACTTACTATCAGAAAATAATTACGACTACGTGTTTATCTTTATGAAGAGATACGTTGAACGGTTCTCACACAAATTCTCCTAACTAAACAGATTATCAAGTCCCAAGATGAAGGCTTTTTACCTCTCAGTTACAAATTATTTAACTTTGTTGAAAGCAGTGCCGGCGTTAGGGGAGGGGGGCGTGATAAGGCGATGGCCCGGGACGACAAATTCTGGGGGCGCCAAGGTCTGAAGTCTGAGGTCTTGCCTCTCTTGGTGCAAACCCTCAGAATTGTGCTCTACGCTCTGTGCATATGTATTTTTTAATTTAACCTTCTAGTCCTGACGTAGTTTTTACTCATACCATAAATGGTGACGTGACGTATGTCAAACACCTTGAAATGGATTACTTTTATTTACTCATTTGCACAATATTTACTTGTAGTATGATCGGTTCATTATAATTCTATTAATGAAGTGCAAAAAAACAAAATTTTCGAATGAAATCAGGGGGTTTTTGCATAACTTAACAAAGATTTTTGCGTAACTTAACGTTTTTAACTACAATACAATTTTGGACGTTTTTTTGGAAATACTTATGAGACACTCACGTCAGTTAAAGGTTAGAAACTTGATCAAAAATTAACAAAATGTTCAATCTAAATGAAAAGTAAAAAAAATGTGTGAGAAATTCAGAAAATAAATTTGAAAAAATTTGTGGACTACAAAAAATATCAAAAGTTACAAAAATATTTTAAAAATAATAAATTAAAAATGAAAAATAAATAAAACAAAATATGAAATTTAAAAAAACAAAAAAAAATTTTAAAAATTTAAAAAAAAATTAAAAAAATGTATATAAAAAAGCAGCTACTAAACTGTCTACGTCCACGTCGTTAGGTCTGGGTAACGCTAAAGGAAAGATGAAATTCTTAATATAATTTTACATGGGATCAGCAAAAAACTAACACTTGATATTGCTTTCCTCAAGTCAGCGCCACAATATTTTCGCCCGGGGTGTCAGTGGCCCTTACGCCGGCACTGTTTGAAAGTTTTGATATCGATACGTAGATACACTATGAAGTTATCATACATCTTCGACATCAACAGCCTATAAGGGCACACAAAACTGCGATGTGACGTCACGTCGCAAAAATGCGCGAGCTCCCCCTCTACGCATCACAAGAACTTGCGAATTGATTCGCATCACGCACCTTATCTTCCCAAAATCTTCTTTGTTTCTTTTTCCTGAATTGTTTGTTTTTTTATGAGCTACATAAATGTGTACAAAAAAGCATATATAAATAAATTAATAAGTAAGTATAAGATAGACTGCCTCGTTAGCCGAGTGGTCGCAAGTGTGACTGCCGGGCAAGGGGTCTCGGGGTCAATTCCCGGGTCGGACAAAGTACTACTGGGTTTTTAAAATTCTCAGTAGTAGCACGGAGCCTGGAGTTGTGCCCGGTATATGGCAATAGGCTAACCCCTATTACATGGGACTCATGACATAAATAGTAAAAAGTGGGTGTTACCACGGTGTTACATTGTACAGTGGCATTAAGTGCCGTAATGTACACCTCTGCCTATCCCTTCGGGGATAAAAGGCGTCAAGTTATGATATGTTATGTTATGTTATAAGATAGATATAAATATATATATAATATATAGTAGGGATTAGAAAGAAAATCAACAATGTGGTATTATTACAATTTATTTACTTTTGTATAAAGTAGTTATTAATTTAAATTAAAGTATGATGTAACGTAAGTAACTTGACGCAGAATTGGAGCACGTCGTACGATATTATGACGGTAGGTACCTTCAATCTGAAATTACTTTAGATCACCACCATACTCTTTTGTCTTTAGTAGGTTTGAACTCGTATACGGAACAAGCACGCAATAATCGAGCCCTGTAAGGTCTCACGTCAGTGAAAACTAAAATTTCTTCACCATTTCTGGTCAACATAAAACTGCCTACCCCGTACAAGCGAAATTCTGATAATAGTAGAGAACCAGACGGCAGTACTTTGAGACCTATAAAATTTCGGATGCATATGAAATATCCCCACTCTCGAGGTATCCAGTTATCGCAGTCCAAGAAATCTACGGGATTGACGAAAAGTTCAACAAAGTGCATTTTATTGTAATACTTAATTTCTGTTTCATTTATAAAACCTAATCCAACAATGTAAAATGTAGGAATTTCTTCAAACATCTCATGTTCAATTGGCGCAGCAAGCACCGCCCCAGGTCTGGACTTTCCATAATGCTTCCATTTTATATCGAACTCAAACCATGAGTAATGGAAACGCAACGGAAAGAATTCCTTGGGTTCAGATATTCTAAACACCATTAAATCGTGAAGTGGGGAATACAATTTCTCTTTGTCTATATAGAACACATCAGCGCCATCTCGCAAGGGCATTATTTCTCGTCCACATTGAATCGAATCGGCTTGTGGTGCGACGGGTGCCTCGCCGTATCTTTCATAGTGCCTAAAATAAGACACCGATAGTATAAAAGTTTTAGATAGAGCTTTAGGATCTTTTATCAATTTTTTAAAAGGATTAAATGAAGTAACGACACGAGTTGAGCTAATGAAAGCTCCTGTGGCTATATATTGTGCGTCTCTAAGATAATGAATATCGAATTCATTATATATAAAAAGTCCGACACTATCGAAGGGACGATAATAGCCGCCGGGTCCTGCGTATATAGGTATTACCCATGGATTATATGCCATTAGCCAACCCATTTTTTGGTAAAAAGTCACTCTTGGGTCTTGTTCGAGTGGTTTACGTGTGTGGACTTCTTGGAGTATAACCAAAATTGAAATCAGGTGTACGACGAACCTGGAACAATAAAAATTTATTACATGGTGCACTTACAGTATTGTGACGATCTGATGGCAATTTTTTTGTTCGTTACTTTTAAAGGGAACATAAATTAGATATATATACATAATTACATATATATATATATATATATATCGAGGGGTAACGGGCTATTTGGTTTAAGCGACATTTTTGCAACTTTACAGGAGAGCCTTTTAAAGTTTGAAATTTTGAAAAAAAATTCGTAACAAAAACGCTTCTGCAGTTATTTGAACGGGGTAAATTGCATTGAAATTTAAATTAAATTATCTAGTTGCTGATGCTAATTCTAAATAAAGCGGACCTTTAATTACAAAGATAAATGTCGCTTAATACAATCTGCCCTTTTTTAGAGTCAGGAAAAATGATTTAAGTGACTTCATAACTACAATTGGCTACAAGGAAAAAAAATTAAGCGACAATGCACTCTATTTACAGAGTAAGCTAAAAAATATGAAGTGACGAAACCCAACATTAATAGAAGCAAGCTATTTATCTTAACTACCAATTCAGACTAAAATGAGTGACAGGCTAATTTACTTATGTGACATATAACATTGAAATTATAACGTTTAATGTTTATGTTTATTTACATCTAAGGCGACTAATGGCTGATAAAACAACCTGGATATCGCAATCACCGAAAATCTCAGATGCTTACATTGAATAAATAAACACAACGCAATATCAAAGTATTTATTTAGAGTAATAATTACAGTTTCAATAGGAATATCGATTATATTTCAGCAAAATCAATTAAATTAATGGGTCATTTACTGAAATTGCCGTTTTGTATGAAAAAATTTAAACGATTTTTTCATGTATTTTTTATTTGTATAATCAACGTAATCACCCATGCAATCAATGCATCGTTGCCAACGCAGTGGCAGTTTATTGATGCCCTTCTTCAATCAGCTGGACGGGTAGTAACAAATTCTTCAAATGCATTTTGTACAGCCTCTCGGTTATTAATTTTTTTCCCGCCAAGAAGTTATCCAAATTCTGGAAAAAGAAGTAGTCTGGTGACTGGTGAGTAGGGTGGATGTCGGAGAGCTTCACAACCCCAGTTCTTGTAACGTGGAGGCCGTCTCTTGTGCAGCTTTAGGTCGCGCGTTGTAATGCAGGAGCAATGGAGATTAGCGATTGACCAGCGCTGGTT